ATTGTTTTATATACCCTGCATTTACTAAGGGAGATAGCTTAATGGTGTTGAAAGAATCTATGAACATAAGCTTATAGGTGTGCAGAGAATGCAATTTCAAGAAAGTGCATCGAGCAATATTCTCCCGCAAATATATATATGTAGGATGGTTGTTGATGTGCTGTGTTGGTGTGGCTTGTGGAAAGGCTGCTGATAAAATTATAATTAAAATTAATTTATTTAAAGCAAGAAATTATAAAGATAAAAGAAGCAACGGTTGAAATAACGGCCGCCGCACTAGCCTTGTTGTTTACCGCTAAGTGGCCAGCGTCTCTGATGACGTCCCACGCGCATGCGTAGTGAAGTGTTGACGCCCGCGGATGCCGAGGCCGTCTTAGTTCGGCTCGCTGAAGCAAAGTGTAGTCGCCACACTAATCCCCCTCCAGTAGGATCTTTCCAGCGATCCTATGCAATCTTATTGGCTTGCCAAGTTCGGGTCTTGGGAAAACATCGGCCCTTCTGATGTGAAAGCAGGCTTGAGGCGGTCGATTGACACCCACGTGGATCTCTTTTTAATTTTCAGTTTGTAAATTTTGGGTTTCCTAAAAAGGACTTCATATGGACCGTCGTATGGGGGAGCTAGCGGTGGCAATATCAGGTCCCGACGTAGATAGACATGGGAACATGTCTCGAGTGGTTTGGGCACGTAAACGTGGCGGTTTCCATGTGGTTTGCTTGGTGCAGGTTTCAGAGATGCCATGGCGTGCTTGAAGTCCTCCAGCCACGGTTCGGTAGGCGAGCTTGCAGAGGGGAGTCCTCGAAAAATGTTCCTGGAAGGGGTAGGGGCTTCCCATAGACCAGCTCAGCGGTTGTGGTGTTGAGATCTTCCCTTAGCGACGAACGAATCCCTAGGAGCACCAGGGGAAGTTTAAAGGACCAGCTCGTGGAATCGTGACAGCGAAGGGAGTCTTTCAGCTGTCTGTGGAATCTTTCTACCAGGCCGTTTGCTGCTGGGTGGTAGGGTGATGTCCTTATTCTGTTGATTCCCAGAAGCCGTGTCAACTCACCGAAAAGTGCTGATTCAAACTGCCTTCCTTGGTCTGTAGTCACTTTTGCTGGCACGCCAAAACGAGATATCCAGACCGATAGGAAGGCATTTGCTACTGTTTTGGCGGTGATGTCCTGTATGGGTAGGGCTTCGGGCCACCTAGTGAATCGGTCGACGCAGGTGAATATGTACCGATAGTTTTCACTCGGTGGTAATGGTCCAACCAGGTCAATGTGAACATGACTGAACCTTCCGTCTGGGGGACTAAACGACTGAAGGGGCGTTCTTGTGTGTCTAGCGGTTTTGGAGACTTGGCAGCGGTGGCAGGCGCGAGTCCAAAGTGCGCAATCCTTCTTGACGGCCGGCCAGACGTAATGGGCGGTGACCATCCTTGTAGTAGCTCGTACTCCGGGGTGAGACAAGTTGTGGTATGCAGAAAAAATTATGCGGCGACAGGGTGCGGGTACGAATGGTCTGGGTTTTGCTGTAGAAACGTCACAGTACAGGGAAATGTTCGTTTCTGGGATTTGTACTTTTTCCAGTTGTAGTGAGCTGCGGTTTTCCGATGTCAAGAGAGCTTGTAGCTCCTGGTCTACTGCTTGCGCTTTGGCGAGGGATTTCGGGTCATAAGGTTGGTGATGGGAGATGGGTTCCACGCCTGACAGGAAATCTGCAGGTACATTTTTACAGCCCGCGATGTGGCGGATGTCGGTTGTGAATTGCCCGATGAAATCGAGGTGTCGACATTGGCGCGGTGAGGCCTTGTCCAGATTTTGTTGAAAGGCGTATGTGAGAGGTTTGTGGTCCGTATAGACCGGAAATTGTCGCCCTTCCAATAAATGCCTGAAATGCTTGATAGCCAAGTATACCGCCAGGAGTTCTCTGTCGTATGCGCTGTATTTTCTTTGTGCAGCGTCTAGTTTCCTTGAGAAAAACGCTATTGGTAGGAAATTGTTGCCAACTTGCTGGTGAAGCGCGGCGCCCACAGCAAAATCCGAGGCATCTACCGTAAGGCAGAGAGGCGCTTCTGGAAAAGGATGGTGCAAGAGGGCAGCGTTGGCTAGTTGAAATTTGCACTGGTCGAAAGCCTGGAGTGCTGTTGGGGTCCATTGGCAGGATGCGTTCTTGCGCCCTTCGACCATGGCGTGGAGTGGTGCCTGAGTACTAGCGGCATTGGGGAGGCAGCGCCGATAGAAATTTAACATACCCAGAAAACGTCGAAGTTTTCCGACAGTATCAGGGATTGGGATGTCTTTAATTGCTTGTACTCGCTGAGGGTCCGGCGAGATTCCAGCGTTAGTGATGATAAACCCCAAGAATTTGACTGAGGGTTGGCCGAAGGTGCATTTGGTTTCGTTGATCGTCAGGCCGTAGTCTCGAAGGCGACCAAAAAGTTGTTAAAGATGGGATACATGTTGATTTTCTGAATCGGATGCGATAAGCACGTCGTCAATGTAGGCATATGCAAAATCCAAACCTTGGAGTACTTCGTTGATGAGCCTTTGAAAGGTTTGGGCTGCGTTACATAGGCCAAAGGACATGCGGGGAAACTCGAAAAGGCCGAAAGGCGTAATAACGGCAGTCTTAGGGATATCTCTAGATTCCACGGGCACATGGTGGTACGCTCTAACCAGATCGATAGTAGAAAATATTTTCTTACCATGCAGATGCGATGCAAAGTCCATAATGTTAGGGACTGGATATCGGTCGGGGACGGTAGCGGCATTCAGTTTCCTGTAGTCTTCACATGGTCGTAGCGAGCCATCTTTTTTGGGTACTAGGTGGAGAGGGCTGGCCCACGGTGATTTGGATGGACGACAGATGCCTTTCTCCATCATGAAGGCGAATTCTTTCTTTGCCGCGGCGAGTTTGTCCGTGGGGAGTCGTCGCGGTTTTGCTGCAATCGGGGGGCCCTTTGTGACGATATGATGAGTCACTGAGTGACGGGGAGGGCTTTTTACAAGATTCTGACTAGTGAGCTCTGGGAATTGTCTGAGTATTCTGGAGTAAGGCGAATTGGCGATTGTAAGGTGAATGCTAACAGCGGGGGAAGGGGAAACAATGGAGTGAAGGGAAGATACTGGGTCGCTCAGCCGGTGATTACGCAGGTCTACTGTCAGCCCGTAATGTCGGAGAAAGTCTGCGCCGATGATGGACACGCCGACGTCGGCTATGATGAAAGGCCAACGGAATAATCGTCCGAGACCGAGGTCAAGCTCAAGATGTCGTTCCCCGTAAGTGTGGATGATAGATCCGTTAGCTGCGAAAAGCTGCCTGTGCGAGGGCCTAGCGTTTTTTACTGGTGGTGGAATCACTGAGACTTCGGCTCCAGTGTCGACCAAAAACAAATAGGCGCTGCGTCGGTCCATAATGAAGAGCCGACGAGTAAGGCCTGCGCCGTCAGTGGCTCCTACTGACGGCGGGCGTATTCGTTTCCCTGGACCTTGAAGTTGCATGGTTGAAGGCACTTCCTAGCTTGCGCTCCAAACTTCATATGGTACCAGCAAGTTCCTGCGTTTCCTTTTTTGTTGTGGGTCGGGTACCTAGCGTTCGGATAGCGATTGTGTGGGGTGTCCATATGGATGACTTCAAAGCTTCGATTTGGGTATGCAGGTCTTGGATTTGCGTCATCAGCTGTTGGTGGGCTTCCGCGCTATGACCTGTGCTTGGTTGGTCCACTGCTGAGACCGTTGGCAGTATGGCTTCGTGTATGTTGTCTGCCATTTCCACCAGCTTACTCAAACTTGTTTCAGAGGATGCTGCGAGAGCGGCCCTTATGTCCTGAGGTAGGCGTCGAGTCCACAGCATTTTCAGTGCTGTATCGGAGAAATTTCTTCCTGCCTGATGTTGCATCGCGGCTAGGACTGTTGATGGCTTCTGATCTCCCATGGGACGCCCATCCAGAACCTGTAAGATTTTAGTTTGTTTTGATTGACCGAGTCGTTGGAGAAGGCCTGCTTTCAGCGCATCGTATTTACCAGAGGGTGGGGGGGGCCGTTACGATGTCCGCGACGTAAGTAAGGGTTGGCTGGTCTAGGCTCGTTACCGTTGCTTGGAATTTAGTTTCGTCGCGGGAGATCTCGGCTAGACCGAAAGCGGCTTCTAGCTGGCTTATCCACAGTTCAACGTTGTTGGGCCAGAATGGTGGTGCACGAAAAGCCAATCTTGATATTTGGGAGGGTGCCGTGGATGTTGGCCCTTCCGGATGTTCCGTAGTTGCGTCTTGCATTCTGGGGCTGTTGAAAGTTTCGTGGATGAAATAAAAAAAATATATAGAAGTGTGATTAAAATAACTTTTGCATCACGTCCGGCTCACCAATTTGTAGGATGGTTGTTGATGTGCTGTGTTGTTGTGGCTTGTGGAAAGGCTGCTGATAAAATTATAATTAAAATTAATTTATTTAAAGCAAGAAATTATAAAGAGAAAAGAAGCAACGGTTGAAATAACGGCCACCGCACTAGCCTTGTTGTTTACCGCTAAGTGGCCAGCGTCTCTGATGACGTCCCACGCGCATGCGTAGTGAAGTGTTGACGCCCGCGGATGCCGAGGCCGTCTTAGTTCGCTTCGCTGAAGCAAAGTGTAGTCGCCACATATATATATATATTATTTTATTCTTAAGCTATTATTAGCATATTATAATTATAAATTCAATTGCCATCCATCGAAGTGAATATACAAAAATATTTTTGAAACATGTTTCTAATAATATTGATTATCAAATTTTATCTCTAGAGAACTTATTGCAGTGATCAAATTATTGGAAAAGAGGGCTTGATATAAGGAGAGGATTAAATATATAGAAATATTAGGTTTATATATAATATATCTAATATATATTAAGTGTTTGTTATTACACATATATATGATTTAATGTTATAAATTAAAGACATTTACTGAGCTCTTCCAAGAGTTAAAGTAAAAATTTAAAACCTTTTCGCAATTTTTTTGTTTAAAAAAAAATATATATATATATGGAGATGCTAGGTTGGATCCCAGTACCTCTCGCATGCTAAGCGAGCGCTCTACCATCTGAGCTACATCCCCGTGTAGTTGGCCTTTTTCTTTTTACAAATTATCATGATGGCAAGATGACAGATGGCAATTAGGGGAATTTTGTCTTAATATGTTGTATCTGACATTAGATTACATCCAAAAATAAAGGTATACAACACTAGATTCAAATTAAATGGGGGAGTGTATTTTAGATAGAAGCAATTTATATTTGTTTTTAAATTTCATTTTCAATTTTCAAGATATTTTCAGACCACGTAGATATCTGGCATTTTATAGAACTAGTAAATATTACTATAATTTTTAATGTACAAAATATTAGACATTAGGTGGCCGGGAATAGACTAGAGATAGAATATCTATATTTATTTTCAAATGAAGAAAATAGTAGCAACCATTTCTTTAGCGTATTAAGCGTCCAGCCTTCCAAAAAAAATAAAATAATAATAAGTAGGTAGTAAGAAACCTCAAAGTTAAAAATAATTTTGAGCATTATCACAGAATTATATGAACATTTCAAATTAGCCACAATAAAAATTTTAAAAAAATGTATTATTTCAAATAATTCAGCATAGCCTTTGAACTATTGCATATATAGCGTAAAAAAAATAAAAGGGGGAATATTATAATCATATGTTGAGTGAAATGTAACAAATTGTTCGACATTTAACTAGTGTCTCGAGGTTCTATATCGCTCCAATACTTATTTATTTGAGCATTGGACTACCATGAGCTGGTGACAAGAAAGTGTGAATACGTGTTCACCCCTATCTCCCGTTCCCGAAGTTTCCTCATCAATAATCATCATAGAAGGTTAGAAGCATTTGATTTATAAATTTTATGGCTAAAATTTAAATAATTAATTGATTGATAAAAATATTTTGGAAAGCCTATTTTAGAATGCACTAAAAGGAGAAGACACATATTTCAGCTACCACTATTGAAAAATTAGATTTATATGAATAAAAATCAGTGGGGGAACACCATCGTATATTGAGGGGAAAAGTTAAATATATAGTGAAATATGAAACTTACTTTTCAATTGGTCATGATAAATCACATTAAGTTCTGAATCCTAAATGTGAAGGCGATTGTGTATGTTTCGTAGTAATTATCAAACTTATAGTTTTTAGTTTTAAAGTTTTAAGCAATCTCCTCCACAAAGATATTGAACTATACCTAGCTATCTATATACAAAAGTTTTATTATCCGGTGTAATATTTATTAATATTTTGAGTCAAAAGGCGATCCATTAATTAAGATTATATAAAAGGGCGTACCTGGATCTTTAAAGAAAAAAACAAACAATTTTTTTTCTTTATTAATATGTTATTATATATAATATATTTATATAATTTTTTCGCCTTTATTTAAAATTTTCATTTATAATATATCAAGATAATTTTACATATGCCTAAGATATATTAATAAAAGGTTCGTGGTTGTGATTTGAAGGTATAATGAAAGGAAACATGTAAAAATATGAATTTTAAACTAACACTGCAAAAAAAAAAAAAAAAAAGATGGAGATGCTGGGTATCGATCCCAGTACCTCTCGCATGCTAAGCTAGCGCTCTACCATCTGAGCTACATCCCCTTATCTATTTATTTTTTTCATATTAATATAAACTAAGAAAGATACCACAAATATAAAAGGTGAAAAATAATTGCCATCAAATAACAAAATACAAATATGGTTATTACTAAATCTGACAAAGGAGCCACCCCCGTAATCATGAGCAAATATGATTATTCTAAGAAGATCAAAAAGATATTTGAAGATATTAATGCATCCAAACAGATCGAAAAAAATAACACAATCTCATAAATCTACGGCCTAACGCGAATTCACAAGAAGATCCCGCTCAGACCAATAATTACTTATCATCTTTCGCCAGTTATGTCCAAAATATCCAAGTTCCTGACCTCAGACCTATCTCCTGTGATTCGTTCTGCCAACGGCTATTCAATAAGCAACATATCTGAATTATCAAATGAATCAAGATATTCAAAACCAACACCGGGATGTAAAATCGGCTCCATTGATGTAGCTTCTTTATTTCTTAGTCCATCTCTCCATTTCCTAATAGATAATCTAAAGGACACACAAAGTGAAAGTTCTACTGATGCCATAGAAAGCAATAGTCATCGCGTTATTCCAGCTTTGCCTCTCAATAATTATTTTTTTTAAGATGGAATATAACAGTTTTTTTTGTAGTTTTCCCACGGGAGAACTGTTATGATTAATAGTTGCGGAAATAGTAATGGCGTGTAATTGGATATATATACAAGATATGATCAAAAGGTTCGGGGAATTAGTAAAAAAAAAAATCTGAAAGAGTTTTCGCAAAATAAAACTTATCATCATAATCACGGGACCTCGTTCTACTAGAAAATATTTATACCTTTTTGATATCTCAAATAATAAGAATTTTATAAGCATTTTTTTAAAGAAAAGAAACAAAGGCGCGGCGTTTATTACAATGAATCTTGGAGGAAGACAGAAAGGAGGAAAAGTTTAATGCCTGCGAGGATTGGCTATTGAACATCCATGAAGATCCAAACTTCCTCACAAAGGTGATTACTGGTGATGAAACCTGGGTCTATGGGTATGACCCAGAGACCAAACGACAATCGAGCCCGTGGCTCCCGGAAAATGACCCCAAACCGAAAAAAAGCAATAATATCTAAGTCAAAAACAATGGTTCTCTTAGTGATTTTTTTCGATCACCAAGGCATTGTGCATTATGAATTCCTCCCACAAAGACAAACAAATTATCAACACGCGTATCTAGAGATTTTACGCCGTTTTCGGGATAAATACGAAACGACCAGAAAAGTGGATCTCGGGCGAATGGATGCCTCATCACGATAACGCCCCAGCACACAGAGCTCTTTTCCTGGGTGCTTTTTTGACTAAATATATATAGCATGTTGGCAATGCCTCATCTCTTGTACTCGCTTGATTTGGCACCAAATGACTTCTTTCTCCTTCCTAGAATGAAGTCAGTTCTAAAAGGACATAGATTTGATACAGTTAATGCCATAAAGGAAAATTCGCTGAGCGTTTTGAGGGGCATTACTTCTGACGAATTTTATGGGTGCTTCCGGAACTGGGAAAAAAGAATGAAACGCTGTATAGATTCCTTCGGACAGTAATTTGAGGAATATTAACCATTTTTTGTATATATTCATCTAATAAATTTATGACCCAATTCCCCGAATTTTATTATCATACCTTGAATATCCCTCATCAAGTAGTCCGTTATTAAAGTTAGTGAAGGGATTATTGATTCAATACTTTGAATATATATCAATGGGTGTGAAGAAATAGGCATAAAAGACAGTACGGGTACATTGATGATATATATATTTTTTGTGAATATTGTTGCATCATGATTAATGCGCGTATTTTAAAAATTATTAATAATATTATTTTTAATATATTTAAAATTTAAATCATATATTTATTTATTTTTATAAAACAGATTATTACTATAAAATATTATGTATTATAAAACATTTGTATTTTGATACACTAAATACCCCACCTGCTTTAAACTTTGATGTGATAAATAAAGAGAGATTCTAGTTCCAAGTTCCAAATAACTTTATTAGGTGGCGCTCAAAAAGAAAAACCTATATCATCATATTTAAAATTAACTGAGGGGGGTGGTTATGTACAGGGGTTCATTTACAATTATAATTTATAATGATGTCGTTGGGTCCTCAGGTCCTTGGGGAAATTGTTCTCAAGGTGGATTTGTTTTTCCTTTTTCTACTTTTCGTCATTCTGGCTTAATTGATGGAGAATTTGTCTAGGTTTTAAATTTCTTATTTTCCTTTTTCCGCATTTGTAGTTTGTGGCTTCCTTAAAGGTGGGGTTTTCTAATTTTTCGGATTTTTCGTAGAATTTAAATGATTGTCTAATAATGTAGTCATAGATGTTTTCGATATTTAGATCGTTCCTGAGGATTGTTTTCCGAACGAACCAGGGTGGAGAAATGCTATCTAAATATATAGTTGTCTTATTATTGACTGGTTTAACCTTTTAGAATGGTTGAGACACGTTCTGGAAAGATGCAAGACGCGTCTGAGGAGAGAATCAAGACTGAAGAATCTGCCAAACCGCAGCCTAGTGCAACACAATATAAAATAGATAAATGACATCAAATATTAAACTCTTCGAGCAGTTACAACCTCTAAATCAAATTAACAATGGAGACAGAACCAAAAGCAGTAGTAGCTTATTTAGATGTGCTCATCTTTAGAACCGAATAAATGGTTTATTACAAAAGGAATAGAAGCATATCTTAGTTTAAATATATTTGATCCAATAGGTCATAAAATATCAAAAGTAAAAGCGCTATCTAAAGACATTTGTACGCATTGATTTCTACCTAAAAAATAGAAAACTCAATATTTTTTGGAACCTGCAAAATTTTGGATTTTCACTAGAATTCATACAGAAGCACACCTATAACCAATTCCTGCCTAGAACAGACTGCATATCAATGCGATTTTTACCTGAATATTTTTCCAACCGATCAAAAACTGGCTCATGAATTAAAGAAATTCGGCATGAGATATTTATTCAGCAACAATAAATCCTTAGGTCAAATCATAAGGATGGTAGGGGGGGAGGGGGGAATCCTATTACCGAATTTAACATCGAAATAGAAACTAAAAATTAGCACAATGCCATATATCAAGTAACCTGCCAATAGTGCATAATATCATATATATAGAAGAAACAAACCAATCACTCGCCACTGGAATTAAAGTAAACATCCGGCATATTGAAATTCATGACAATAGATTATCAATATATCAACAGGAAAAATTATTGGAACCAATTCAACCTACAGGACGTAACCTTTTTTTATTTTAGAATATAATAGTCATTTTGAACATTTATCTCAAACAAACTGAAGATTGGAAATACACAGCGGCAATATCAAAACACTCATCACGCTGATAAATCCATAGTATTTTACTATAGGGAGCTATAATATGTGATCCTTACATTTAAC